CCCTAATTGCTGCAACACCTACCGTATTTTGCGTGTGTTGCGTTCAGGGCGCCTCCTGTTGGTCAGGAATTATCAGAGCCATGCAAACATGGCAGCTGCTGTCAGGATGTGGACGTGGAACTGTCCGACAAGAGGAGATTTGTGTCCATGGCTGGTGGTTTTTGTAGTTTTATTCAGTAGTGTGAATGAATCCAGAGCGGCGCCAGAGACAGGGCTGTGGAAATTCACAATTAATAATGTGAGTATCACCTGGAAACTGTAAAAACTGCGGGGCACCTAAAGCTAACGTTAGCTGCACTGGCCGTGTTGTGTTCACTTGCCTGTATCTTCTTTGGTGATTTGAGTGTTGTCCTTCATTGAAAGTATTTTCTTAGCAACTTACGATAACGAGACGTTATACTTTATATGATCTGATAAAATTCACAACCTAAATGAGAAGAAAATGATTTAAGCTTTACTAATTAGCGCTTCTGGGTTAGCTAACGGCTAGCTAGCGTTAGCCAGCTCGAGTTAACAGCATCAAATATAAAAACAGTGCTGTTTATTTTGCCTTTGCGGGAAATTATCACTCAATGTTTTCCAAAATTAGGTTCAGGACCCCAATGTGAGTATTTAAACATCAAGTGGGGTTTAAAATGTAGAAATATTCCCAGATCTGAACTATGGAAACCTGCTTCTCCCACTGAAAACATCATGTTTCTTTCTGTACTTGTTTACCACGAAGTTACAGCTCTTAGATTTTTGTCCTTGGAGAAATGGAAATCCTCTGATAAATAATGTATCTACTGAGAAGATTCAGTTTCCTGTATTCTGGTTGCAGTATTATGTGTCCCCAGAAGAGAGTCGGGCTGTTTGAGGACCATTATGGACAAGTTTCCAGTTWGAGACAAGTTTATTTCTCTTTAAAGCAGATACTGACTTTAATGTTTCTGGATTCGAATACAGAACAGCTTCATTAGGCCTAAACGATTCATCGATTTGCTAAGTAATTATTATTTAATGTCATCTCCGATTGCATCGTAGCTTACAAACTTTAATTATTTTCCAGACCTCAAGACCACTGCTCATAAGGAAAGCCATGTTTGAAAACACTGATATTGAATTGAAAGGTGAGTTGTGAAAATAATTTATTTTAGGCTTGACCAAACAACAAACATTCCTATTTTTTAATGTGTCTATTTATTTATTTTTTAGTTGTGTCCTTTTACTGTCCCGGGGAGGTGGAATTCACTATTCATTGGCTTTTAAAATATTACCAATGCTCCAATGAGTACAACAATATTGAAGTAAGTGAAGATACTTTGTTATATTTTTAGCTCAGCTGTGGCTCTCAGACCTCTTTCTGATTTTTGAGTTTTGACCGTGTCAGGAAATGTACGACATGACGCCTCAGAGTCGTGGCGACAGTCTGGATCCCAAACCCAACAGCCCGGGAGAGTACATCGAACACAGACACGGTTTAATCAAGTGCCACAAGAATCTGCGTTCTTTCCCCATGCTCAAAGTCAGTGGACTCCTTCCACATTTTCAACGCATTTTTGTATCTGGATATTTATTACGTTGCGTTTGCGTTCATCATCTTTGTGTTTGTTTTCTCAGAAATCGAAGGCGGAGCCACGTCCAGTGGTTCAACGTGACGAAAAGGAAATGCTTGTAAGAAAACAGAAATACTTATTCATGATGAGAACAAAGAAAACTTGGTTATTTTCAGAAAACCGCACTTAAAAGCTACAAAATAATTCCATAATCTTCCATTTGATAGGTTTGTGTAGTGTGTTTCCTCGTTATGTTTTTTTAACATTCCTTAAATTGTGCCCTTAGCGAAAACTGGAGGATAAAAACTGGATTTCTGAAGAGTATGGCGATGTAAAGAACAACAGTGGGATGATAAAGGACAACGTTATAGCCACCACATGGCGGGATGGACCTTACCTGCTGGTTGTGAACGTGTCTTCAAAGGAAGCGAACTGGAATTTGACAGGTAGAGTGTTTCATTGTGTGATTCAGCATATTTGARGAAGTTCAGATTTCACAGCCTCAAAATGAAAATTTTCATGTGTTTTAATGTCAGAATTTCATTTTATTTTTTTCAGTAAATGTGGTGATGAAAGGCAAGCATGGCTTCATCTCTGTCACAGAGTGGCCTCTCATGATCGTAAGTTGACCTCTCCAGAAAATGTAATTGTTTGAGGCTTGTGTCTAAAACTTTAATTTATATACTGATGTCATGTTTGTTTTTCAATTTAGTGATTTTCAGGTGAATTATTCTGGTTCTTGTGGAGGATTGTACCTTTTTTTTGAGGCTTTAGGTTTCTTAAACAGTTTTGATTCTTAGTTTAGTACAGTTCATCTACTTTGTTGATCATATTTCACATTAAATCCATTTGAACATTTGCCTTTTAAGATTAAAGATTTAAAGCTGTGTCCAAATTCAGGGTCTACATCCTTCAAAGGCCCCAGCCTATCCGGCAGAGTTGTAAAGTAACTAGGGCTGTGTATTGGCAAGAATTTGGCGATACGATACATATCATGACAGAGGGGTCACGATACGATATATCCCGATATATTGGGATACTATAAGCAAGGCGATATATTGCAATTTTTTTTGTCCAAAAATTCTATTAAATAAAAACCTCTTACGGGGAAAAAAAATGAAAAACCAAAATTC